CCTTATCTCAACCCTTTTATGTCGACCGAGTTTATTTGTAGATGCTTAACCTAGTTATACGAATTGAAAACAACTTTTCGCATTTAATGTATATTTACCGTAATAACCGTTCGACAATAGGGATAAGCATTCCATGCCTCTTCGTGAATCTCCAATGAGCCTTTTGGCGCCAATAGTCTTATGAACGCTGGAACTTTTGATTGCAAATGGTAGATCTTATATGTATACTGACCGGAATTATATTTGCCGCCTAGATATATAGAAGGATAAAGACAGTTAAACACCCAAGTTGAAGCAAAATACATCATATTATGGACAAGCTGCTTACCCAATAATGGAAAATTTTCAAAAGGCTCGTTTTTTAATACCTCAATGCCCTCGCCGCCTCCCGTGTTCTCCTTTGACGCCTCCGCAACCGTGAATAATTGTGCTATTTGATACTGTGAAAGTAAGGTGCAAAAGGAACGTCGGGTTCATAAATAGCAGTTCGGAGCACGGCTGAATAATTCGTTCGCTTACCTCTTCCACGGTTAATGGCAAAGTCACGCGGCTGCAAAGAGTGGGAGAGAGACAGAGAGAGAGAGAGAGAGAGGGAGAGAAAGAGAGAGGCAATGAATGCGTATGCAAACGAAAGAAGGTATTTTTAATTATTTAAATTTAATAAGTGCTGTGTATTTAATTAAATCTAGGCCATAGGTAAGCAGGTTGCCAACAGTTCCTTTGCTCTGATAAATTATTTCCAGAGGCAGCCTAAAAGTGTGCCACACTTTAAGCTACACACACACACACCCATGTACAAATTAATTGAGAAAGCGAGAAAGTGAAAGAGGTGACAGAGAGGGGTGCTCGCAGGGGCGCTTTCAAAACATAATTGCGTTGGCCTTGAAACTTATTCGCATTGGCTTTAGTTTGTACGGTTTTTGTGGTATAAGCCCTAATTGAAAAATTTCTGCCTCGAATGCGCGACGCTAAGCTTTGTTTTATTTACGAGGCCGACTTGTGTTTTCTCTCTAAGTAATTCAGTAAATATGGAGAATAGTGGAAACTGAAAATCATAGATTTTATCTAAACATACTTTATAAATTAATTTAAGTCGTCGGATGTGTATTTATATTGTTTTTGTCTGTCTAAAAATAATACAATTTATGTAGGTGAACCAATTTAAAATATTTAATTCGAGTGGCTAAAATCCTTGTTTTAAAGGCATTAGATTAAAGCATACATTTTTTTTGGGTTGAAATATAAAAAGGCGGGCTTCATTTGCGGATCGTGACGTAAGCTTTTGATGCAGCCATTAAGCCGGCCAAGGTGCAAAACTTGGCCCATAAAACTGACGCAGTCAAGATTCTCATTTAGCCGCGTTTTATAAGTGTCGTCACCTTTTTTTCGTTAGAGGAACGAGGTAAGTGTTAGGGGCAGGGTCTGTCGGAAGGTCTTGTGTTGTCAGAGGCAACTTCCAGTAGCAATTAACCTTTTGCCATTGTTGACACGTGTAATGATGTGTTGCTAATTGGCTGCCTAATCGGCCCTCGCTGGGCGGTCTGTCTTATTGGACTCCGGCGAGTCGCTCAAGCTCTGTCGAGCCAGACGAGCAAGCGAGAGGTTAAAGGGATGCTCGCCTCCTTCGCCTGGCAACACTTTGCACGCAGTCGCTGGCAGAAGGCCTCCATGCTTGAGTGGGCGTGGCTGCACAATTTATTCACAAATTGTGAAAATTGACTTATTTACACTTAATTTGGTGAGCAAATCGGATGGTCCTCAAGTTCAGCGAATGGAGCCAAGCAACGGGCAGAGAATTAAAGCATGTAGATGAAGTAATATTGCTTAGAAAATTACACTGATAATTTTATTATGTATTGTATATAACAGATGCTTCAATTAGAAAATGTTGCTCACTTTAAAATAGCGTTTATTTGAAAAAAGATCTAGAATAATATTTTCTATTATATTATCGCTAAGTGATAATACTTTCTAATCAGCAATTTTGAATCATATGTATTGTTCAGATGCAACTTTCTGCATTAGCAATATATGTAAATATGCGCACAGTAGCAATGTTTCTAAAGTCATCCAATAATTGCAGAGAAATCATTAATGTTACGTTTCGCTTGTCACCTTAATCAGTTGCCGTTAAATCAACTCAAATTGGATAAAGTAATGACGCTCATAAAGACTCATCTGCTCTCCCTTTGCTCAGTGTCTTACAGCTGCCTTGAAGTGGCTCAAGATAATATCAACAGCAATGGCAATAGCAACAACGATTCCGGAGAAATGACTGCGGCAAATTTGTTTGCCAAAAGAGATA